GGGCAGAAGGGTGCAACAATGAATGAATGGAATCCCAAAATCTCTGTAGATGTTCATTGAAATGAAAAATAAACAACCTAAATTGAAAAAAAAAACAAACACCAAACTCTGGATTATGAATATTCACTCAAATATTTACCACTTTTTTAATTCTAAAGAACTAAGCCACTCAATAAAATAGGTGTGCATTATTAACTCGATCATGCAAATTTAATTGGTCTTAGCTGGCCTACTGGGAAGGAGCCCTCCTGGTGCCATGGCTAAGTGCTGAATGCTAACATAAAAGTGGTGATTCAAATTCAAGCAGCAGATTCATTAAAGAAAAGACCTGGTAATTTGCTCCTGTACACATTACAGCCTAAGGCAAACTATGGGGCAGTTCTCCTTTTATGAATGGGAATTGACTCAACAGCATACTTCAGCAACAGTAGCAGCAAAATGTGGTCTACTTGAGAGATACAGCATACTTAAAAGTTATGCTATGAAATGATGGCTGTTTTCTCGTGAAAATTTACATTTTAAAACACATTATCACATACTTTATACTATTAAAACTTAATAGTAGCTTTATATTTGTTACTAATAAGTAAATGCAATACTAAATAAGTGTAAATCATAATATACTTAAAAGCACTTACATCAGCTCAAAACTATTCGGAGTAGTGCCAATAAAATAGCCTCCAGGATTAAGTCTTTCACAAGCATTTCTGAGCATTATGTCAGCTTGCTCACAGGACTCAAATGAGTAATGACAAACAAACTGACAACTGCAGATATCAAAGAACATTTCTGGATCCTGGAATTTGTCAACCAAAAGTTCCTGAAACAAATGAAAATGAATTAACAAAGATGAGCTGCCCCATGAACAGATAAATGTGCACCTATGTTCACAGAACTTATATACAATAATAATGAAAGAAAGGAAACAATCTAAGTACCCTTCACCAGATGAAGGATAAATAAGCAATAGTGTATACTCTCAACTCTCACTGACTCATCATTAACCCACCAATGAGTTTTGAGTATGCTATCAATCAACCAGGAGTATATTGCCTGTCTTTTTTCCTCAGAGCCACTAGTGGTTTGTTTTTTGGGTTTTTTAAATTTTTTTAAAAAATCTTTAATTATTCAAATATTAAAAATCGCAATCATACATATACACAAGAGCATTACATATGTGTGTAGAATTAAACTACAAACTTTTTGCTGTCAAGTCAGAACTTATTCATTGCTGACCCGCAGGCTGACACTCTAGGGATGTATTGGAGGAAATACAACCAAGTCGTTTCTTAAAGACAAAGATGGTGAAACTTCACCTCACATAGCCTGAGCATGTTACCAGGAAGGCCACCTTTGGTAAAAGACATGCTGAGAAAATTGGCACCATAATGGCAGAGAAGTTTTTGTTGGCCACTAGAGGTTTTTAACCACTTTGAGTTAGCAGCACAAGTCGCTAGAGACTACGCCAACAGAGTTCACAATGAAATACTATACAACACTGAAAATAGAGAAAGGCTGCATAATGAAATGTCAGTCATAAAAGGACAAACAATGAGTAATTATAAAAAGGAAATTCACACTCAAAACAAAAATTCTTCAATGGTGAGACAAGCAACTTGAAACAGTCATTTCAGGTATTAAGATGTAAAACTGCCAGAGAGTAAGGCTTACTGTTTCATTAGTTATTCCCATTTAAGTAAGCATCCTTCCAGTTCGAGACAGTTAGAAAAGGATGCCAAGCAGCCAAGCCCTAATCAATTTCAGCTGGTAGCAATCTGGCCCAAAGAGCATGTGTCAAGATTCTGTTAATTAAGATAACTAAGTGTCTTACACAAAAAATTCCCAGCCGGTAGCAATCTGGCCCAAAGAGCATGTGTCAAGATTCTGTTAATTAAGATAACTAAGTGTCTTACACAAAAAATTCCCTGCCGATAAGGCTAAAGACATCATTTCTGAGCTTATGATAAATGGCAGATGCTTAATCCCTGAGATTTCCTACTATAACTAATCCTAACCTTTCAGACTTCTACTCCAAACCACCTCAGTGAATTTTTGTCACAGAGGGTCCTTTTTTCAGCCAATTAAATAAAGTATCCTCCTTCAGAGTTTTCAAAGTGTAAGCCTGTGAGCTTTAGCAAATGAGACCTGGATGGTCAAGGTGGGCAATAATGATTACCATAAACAAGAGGATAAGGAAAGAAAAATTACTAAAGGCACTGAACACTAATGATCAAAGACCATATTAGTTGTGGGATGACATCAAGAATATCACCTAAGAAGAAATTAAAAGGTCATTACAAATACAGAGGAGAAACTAAAGACCAAAATGGATGTCAGAAGAGACTCTGAAAATTGAACTACAACATCAAGGAGCCGAAACAACAGGAAAAAAATTATAAAGTAAGAGTCTAAGGAAAGATTAGGTAGTATGAAAAGACAAAGTATTATGAAGGAATGTGCAAAGAGCTAGAGCTGGAAAACAAAAAGGGAAGAACTCTGTATTTCTCAAGCTGAAAGAACTGAAACACAAATTGAAGCCTCAAGCTGCAATAATCAAGGATGCTATGGATAGAATTTTGGATGATCCAGAATGCATCAAAAGAAGCTGGGGAGAATATAGAGTTACTGTACAAAAAAAAGAATTGGCTGACATGGAACCATTTGAGGAAACAGGAAATTATCAAGAAACAATGGTAATGAAGGGAAGAGTTCAAGCCATATTGAAGGCACTGACAAAAAATAAGGCCCCATTAAAATCTAAAAAGAACAAATTAAGGCCTCAGGAATTAATGGGAATGACTAAACAAAGGAGTGACTTTATCATATCACCACTATCACTAGGTATCTGGTAGTGTTCATCTTTTCCATCCCAGCACCCTGAGGCCTGCTTCCATATCTCACACTAGAGCATTTGCATGGCTCTACATTTAGAGACTCCTTCCAAGAGACAGAGGACTGTGTCGTGTCTGTCAGGAGCCAGCCCTGGATTTGTACTCACACTCTTGCCTCTCATTGGTCCCTATTCAGACACCCAACACAGCAACATTTATGGCAGTGCACTCTGTGTGGTGCACTCTATCCTTGGACTTCTCAGGTCAGCAGTGATTCGATACTCCATTTGCACCTATCCTCTAGACTGGCAAAGACATCATTTCTAACCAAATAGACTACCTAGGATCCTTGAGGTCAACAGAAACTCTTCTCAGAGCAGGTGGTCTGACCCTCAATAAATCCTAGAATGGAAGAGGTGCTATCCCTATCCCAACTCACATCTTGAGGCATCAGCAATGTCTTGTTGTTGGATGGCATCTAATCAAGTAAGATTCATAGCAACCCTAGGAACAACAGATTAAACCCCTGTCCTGCAAACATCACCACCTCTGACACAATGAAGCCCAATGATGCAGTCACTCTGTCAATCCACCTAGTTGAGGGTCTTCCTCTCTTTCGCTATCTCCCCACATTTCCAAGCATGAAGTCCTTCTCTAAGAAATAGTCTTTCCTAGCAATCTACCAAATTATGTAAGATGAAGCTTTGCCATCCTTACCTCTAAAGAGCACTCTGGCTGTACCTTCTCCAAGAAATATTCGTTTGTTCTTTCGGCAGTCCAAAGGATATTGAGTACTCTTCTCCAAAACAACTCAAAAGTATTAATAATAACATAACAAAACCAGCATAAGACATAAGAAAAGGCCTTCTATAATGATTAGAGTCAAGTGAACAAGATAGACTTAGTATTTGCCCTCCCAATGTCAAAGCCATAGACATGTGAATTAAACTTCCACAAAACTGAACAGAAAGACAAGACATTAAGTATTCAAGATACTGCATAGTGTACATGAATTAGGATAAATTATGCTGAGTCACATAAGTCACTCACAAAAGCATTGCAGCTGGGAGATCCAAGATGGCAGCGGAGGCAGAGACAGCGTGGTGAGCCGCGGGAGCAGCAAACCACTTAAAGCAGGGCCATTATGGCCTTCCACAGACTTCGGCTTATTGATAACTGAATACTTAAACAGTTGATGACTGGCCCTCAGTGAAGATCAAGGCTCAACAACAGGAATTCAAGGACTCCCAAGGAGAAATGGGTGAGTCTCGTGGCTCCCGCACCCCCGCAGAGCCCGTGCCACGCCGAACAGCCACTGCAGCTCCATGAGGTTTCCAAAGCCTGAACGAATAGATTCCCTCACCCAGGATGGATGCTGGGCACCGGCCCTCCTCAAGACTGGTACAGTGAAGCCACCAAACTGCTGCAAGGTGGTCTTGGTCTGGAAAGAATTCTTGGAGCCAGGATGGCAGCTGTGGGGAAAGCAGGCGCCCACCGGCCGCCCGCACAAGAGGGGCCACGCACCCGCTGAGTGCCCATGCGGCGGGGAGGGGAGGCGTGCCCCCAACGGCTGCCCGCGCTGGGGGGTGGGGGCACACACCCCCACTGGCCACCTGTGTAGGAGGTGGGGGATGGGATGCATGCCCGCCATCTGCAGGTTTGGGTTTCCTTCGACAGGCCAAAGAAGACAATTACCTATGCATTGGAAAGGCCAAAGAGGATGATTACCTATGCAATGGATTGCTGAAAGTCACTGTGAGTCTGATGACCTTAACAGTGGCAGCATGCACAAGATGACCAACATCCTAAATGCACCACATATTTTGTTCTGTTGAATGCTTCTGCCAAAAGAT